TAGGATGATCCACTAAAAATTAACATAAAACATAGATAAAACAAAAATGAGTCATTTTTTTTAACATCATTTTTAAAAATTTAAATGAAGTACAACGGATACTTTTATCGATGAAATAATTTTATCATAAAAATAATTACAAAAAAAAAAATCACACAATATAGATATAAAATTGTACACATCTTACATGCATATTAAATCAAAAAAGAAAAGAGATGTGCCCTTTTGTTTTCTCCTTCATGTAAAAGCCCAATTAAGTTTTAATATACATATAAAACTTTTCATATTCAACAACTATTTATTAAAATATTACTTATCTTTATTATATTTAAATTTTAGTATTAAATTCAAATAAATTATTTGAAATAGTTAGAATTTTTAAACTCTTTTCTCTAAACCTATAAAAGAACACAAAACTAAATTCTCCAAAGCCCTAAAATAAGTGTCTTAGCTAATGGTGTTTTTTAACTCATGAAAGCTCTTACTCTCGTTAATCATTCAAATTAAGTCAATAAACAAATATTTGGTTTAGGTATATCTATATAACTTCTAAAAATAATTTCATTTGACTTTGATATATACTTGAGATGCCTAACTGATATTTGTTTTCTTATCACAAATTTTAAGTTAATTTTTCATCATATTCTCTAACTTTAAAGATTTTAAAAGAGAGAAAGGCACCAAAATTAATTAAGTACAAATATCATGCTATATTATCGTAAAAACTTAGGGGCAAGATACAGAGCAAAACTTTGGAACTAAAAAGGCAACAAAATATAACATTCAATGAACAACTCAAAAGCAAATGGCAAGCACAAAATAAATTTTTATTTTATTTCTAAAAACAATCCATATTTTATTTTTAGGTATATATGTATTATATGTGTTAAAATTCTCAATTGATAGTCTTTTTTAAATTTTTTATAAAAATAGTGGTAATTAATATTGTTTTTTCAAAATATTAAGAGAATAAGTTTATATCTATATATCTATTTATATCTGTATTTATCTACATATCCATAAATTAATTAATTAATCAATTAATCAATCAATATACAATATAAAATGTTACCTCAAGTATTAATTAAACACTAATTTTGTTATTTTATTTTAATTATAAAAAAATAAATTTGTTAAAAAAGAAAAAAGAATATATATTATTTTTACATAAAAAA